CAAAGCAAAAGTCGTTAACAAAGCAAGCCGAAAACCCAAATTTTGTCATCCGTCATCATCGTGACTCAGGTGAGTCACTAGTTCCATCGTCATACGAGATGGGTATCAATTAGAAAGCGGGAAGAGCATTTACAGCTCCTGCTTGACCTTTTCCTTGGACTCGACGGCCTTCTTCTGAGCGGCATCAGCACCAAGACCGATCTGGTTGGAAACCCAGTTCCAGGTGTCCTTGACGTTCTCTGCGACCTTAGCGAAGAGAGTCTCGGAAGGAGTCGAGGTACCGTACTTGAAGTACGTGTACTGTTTGCGGGCGTAGGCGCGGAGCTCGTTGACAGTGGATCCCTGGGGAACGTTGACACCGTAGCTGTCAAGGTAGCTCTTGAGCTCGCTCTCGCTCCATGTGTCAAAGAAATTGGACTTGACCGCGTCGGTGGCCTGGGACAGGTAGCTGGTGACGGAGGCATAGGAAGTACCACCGGCAGAAGAGGCGGAGCTGTAAGCAGACTGAGCAGCGTTGACAAGCTCATCGCGAGTAGCGTCCTTCTTGTCGGCAACATTCTTGACGGCAGCGTCACTGCTGGAAGCAAGGTACTTGCGGAGGTTCTCGGTGGAGAGATCATCGTAGGTCCAGGCGCTCCAGCCAGTGGCGGCCTTGTGCTGGTTCTTGCGAACAAGGGCACGGAGCTCATCAGTCTTAGATCCCTGGGGAACGGGAACGCCACGGGAGTCGAGGTAACCCTTAAGACGGCTTTCAGACCAAGTACCAACAGCCTCATTGAAGGCCTCGGTAGCAGCGTTAGAGGCAGCGTCGGTGGCCTTGGCAGCAGCCTGGTTGACGTTGGAGGTGGCAGCACCAAAAGCACTGTTAGCCTTGCCAGCAATGTTGGAGTTGAGGAAGTCAGCACGGTGCTTGCGAACGAGAGCTCTCAGCTCGTTGGTCTTGGTGCCTTGGGGAACAGGGATGCCGTTCTTGTCAGCAAATTCCTTGAGCTGAGACTCGCTCCAGGCATCAATGACCATGTCGGTGAGAGTAGCATAGGCCTGCTGAGCAGAAGCGGAAGCGCTCGCGGCCTGCTCCTGAGCCTTGAGGGAAGCAAGACGGGAGTTGCGGCGAACAGAGGCAATCAGCTTATCGCGCTGTGTGGGAGTTAGCACATGGGCAGTGCGCGGGCATTTTGGTTGTACTCACGTTGGTGACCTGGGGAGCGGGGAATCCATGGGTATCAAGCCATTCCTTGAAGTCAGACTCTGCACGTGAGATTAGCGTGGGAAAAGCAGTGGGCAGAGAATCAATACATACCGGACCAGGTCTCATACAGCCAGTTACCAGGGTAGGAGGCGGTCTCGCCAGCCTTCTGGGCAATGGTCTCGTAGTTGGCGCGGGCCTTCTGGAGGATGCTGTCACGGTTGCGGGGCTGGGGGACTAGAATGGTGTCAGTCTCGGAAACTTGTGGCACCAAAATTTGCTGTGAACATACCGGGAATGCCGTGCTTGTCAGCAAAGGCCTTGAGTTGGCTGTCGGTCCAGCTGTCCAAGATCCAGTCCTTGACACTGAGGTAGGCGTTCTGAGCCTGGTCGCTCGTCTCGTACCAAGAGCTCTGAACCTGAGCGACAAGAGACTCCTTGTTGGCCTTGGCGGCGCCCTCGGTCTCGAGACCCTTGGCCTTCAGGTAGCTCTGAAGACGGTCGGTATCCCACGAGTTGTAGGGGGAGACAACGTAGTCGTTCCAGTTGTTCTCGATCAACTTCTCGAGATCCTTGCGGTCGGCGGGAGTAGGGTAGGGGATGTCATGGTCAGACAGCCAGCGCTCAAGCTCGGTCTCGTGCCACTTGTTGTAGGCTGCGAGTGATATTTGTCAGTTTCATATCAAACAAATCAAGACAGTGATGAATGTTGAATATGACGTACCAGCCTTGGAGAACCAAGAGCTCGCGATGGCGCCCTGGGCAGCCAGAGCCGTCAGGACGGCGGGGAGGAAACGCATGATGTTGATTTGCAATCAGTCTTCCAATGAAGAGCCAGAGATGGGGGTATCACGAAAAAAAGAGGCCCGGAAAGAACTGAGAAGATGAGGAAATCACAGAGATGTTGATGTAGAGAGGAAGAAACAGAAAGGTCAAGCTCGGGGGAGAGGTTGCCAAGGGTGTAGGTGGTTTTTGTTGTGTCGACGGGAGGCGGGATGGCAAGCTACGTGCTTGTGTGCAGGGGGGAGACGTAGGTAGACGCAATGTGGACGGGGAACCTAGATGAATGTGGAGGTGCAGGTGCAGGCAATAGGCGGGCAGGTTGACGACAGGGAGGAGATGGGAGGCGTACAGACTACCTACCTACGGAGCACAAGTGAGGAAGGGGCCTTGGGGTCAACCAAAGGAAGGCAAGCGTCAAGCTTGAAGCGTCAATTCTCACCCAATGGACCACGGATGATCTAATTCATGGTAGGAATCCATCACGTCACTGCGGTGAGGTACGATTTGGGGGAAATTGTGGCTGCATTTGTGACCTTGGGCGCCTTGGGTGCCTTCCCCGTGGATGCATCTCATCTCTCTCGTCCCGTTGCTGCGGTGGCCATGGCATTCGAGGCCTTGTGGATGGAGGAAGGAGCGGGCGGTTGTACAATACCTACCTACCTACGTATCCGTACATACGCGATACGTACTTTCTACACCTTGCCTTCGGTGCCTTCCTGGGTAAGGTGCATTGCCATACATATAAGTCGCACCTGCCTGGTTCAAGAAGCACTTGCCGCGGCCAAAGGAGTGACGAGCGAGGAGCTCCTTCTCTTTCGCAAACTTATTGCATGGTGCACCTGCCCAAGTCTTCCCTTGCCTTGCTATTCAAATTGTTTGGAGACAACCGGCCGGACGTTGAGACAATCAAACAAAACAAAGAAAGAAGAGACATATCGTATCCATACATGGCACGTCCAAGCTCCCCACGTAACTGAGCAACACCTACTTACCTTGGGGGCCAACACAGTTAGGTTGACAGGGCAGTCACGTCAATTCAATGCAATAGCACCGGCCAGGACAGGCCACATGCCACGATGATGTGCTTCAGAGACGATGACGGGAAAGGGTAACAAAAAAAGCTCTCCCCTCCTCAGCCATTCAGAGAGCTCCCTGAAGCTCATCTCTGTTCAGCATGACGTAGCTACCCCCCTGTCTAGTGGAATTCTTACGCGGTGCGGTGCGGGTTCGCTGCGGTGTCCGGGCTGTTTGGCGGTGCTTGGCTGGGCGGTACGTACCTGGTGCAACGTGCATAGCGCTGAACATTAAGGTTGCAGGTCAGTTTGGAGCCAGGACGGTGAAACCATTACTTTGATGGGAAATATGGGGGACATGTTTATGCCATTCATGCCATCAGCCTGAGATATTTGAATTGTCGTTTGGGATTATCGACTCAGGATAACTTCATTTTCATGTTCCTGTTGTTTGTGAACCAATGCTCAACACTTTTCGTGTAGACGGAGCTTGGGGAAAGGAAAGGTGAGGTGCCTTCCTGCGTCATCCTTAGCTCCAGCGGGAAGCTGCGAGCTCTGTCTTACTCCCTGCCTGCCCAATGGCTCTTGTCCAGGACCAATTGCTCCGGTGATGTCACTCTGAGCTAACCCCACGGTCACCACAACCAACGATGGGGTTTTGGAGTGTGAAAAAATCAGCCACTTCTCCGCACCGCCACCAGCTGTCACCACAAGTTCTTTCCTCATCGTGATCCTTGGCAATGGCCTAGGTACACGCACGTAGCCAGGTGGTCGTGCTTGCCCGTGGTGCTTCCCTTTCGATGATGGGACGGGCGGGGCCGGGTTGTGGGGAATATACTGCCAGCTGGCGGTCAGTGCTCTCCCACACCGCGAACTCACAAGCTTCACCGAGACTGCCAGACCGATCAAAGGCCTGGACCGGTCCATCATCGTCATTGCTGCGGCCCCCCTTTCCCTGCTGGCGCGTTTGCGGACTGGCCCTCTTTTGACAGCTGCTTCGTCTATGCTGCTTCTCAAAGATGTCAAGATGTGAATACTCCTTTTCGCATTCTTGACTTCCGAGTTGCCTGTCCGGAGATCGTGCACGGTATATTTTGGGGAGTATGTCTGTTTCTAGTGTCATTTGATGTGTAGACCTTGCGGTCTGTATCTTGAGCTATCTTTCTCAGTCATATTAGCCAGTTGACCCAAAGGCAGCGAGACCCAACGAGTTTGCGTGTCTGAGGATCTCTTATCCGGACCAGTAGGTATGGATGCGATGTTTCTGCTTCTGTTAAGTTAGTTGGTGTATACACTCTGCCCGTCTCGAGGCCTGTATAACGAGCCATTCGTCCTATCAATGTCGGGAGGCAAATCTCATGGCAGGAATCTTACCTAAGTAGCTTATCTTTCGCAAGATGAATGCATTGTGAGTAATTCCGAGCGACTTGCTGGTGAAGAAGTCGGTGAAACTCGTAGATGGGGATGCGAGCCCATGGTGTACGTATTATGTTGTGTGGAATATGGGAAGAAGGCTTAGAAGTAGAGACGGATTCGACGTTGATTCTTGCATACCTTGCCATCAAACCACAGTCAATACTGCAAATTCCTTACCACAGGGTGTAGCCGTTTGACCAGATGCTGTCGTCTACCGTGAAGCCCGTATACTTTCACACCGGTGACTGTAAATCGTCGACACAAGCTCTGGACCTTACACTTCAACGAGTTCACCGCCAACAAGGTCGACTGACTTCAACAAAACATTCATTTCCCTAGACATAGGTGTTGTACAAGCTGCTAGAAAGCAGCCTATATAGCCCTCATAGACTCCAAGCCTTTTCCGCCCCTGAACCCCCAGCCGTCTTCCCCGTCCCAGTTTATAAAACAATTGTTGCCCATGTATATCGAATCAAGAGTACCGTTACATCCTCCTCAACTCGTACAAAATATTCATGGCTCCCGAGTTCTTTCAACTCAAGAGCTCTCTCGTCAAGCAACGAAGTATCGTTGGCTTCAAACCCGCGTCCGATATGAGACGCTTAGTCGGTGACACCGGTGGGGGTGTTGCAGAGGATACCCTGGTCAAGCTGTATCATCTGTCAGTAAACACGCTCATATCATATAGATCAAGATATGGAAGAGAACTCACAAGAGGCAGAACGCAGCAGCGGGCACGCTGTCCGATGGCAGAGCAGATGGAGCTGAACTCGTCGGCCGAGGTAGGTGCCTCGGGCGGGTTGCCGCAGTCGAGGTCAGCGACGCCGAGGACGTCCGTCGCGCAGCACTGCGAGGTGCCGTAGAGGCCGGAGCAAGGGACGTAGACGGCCTGGCGCTCCTCGAGGGGCGCGGAGAGAGCGACGCCGGCGAAGAGAGCGGTGAGAGCGATGGTGAATCTCATGATGGCGGTGGGTTGGTTTGGTGTAAGTGGGTATGTAGTAGATGGGAATAGAAGAGTGATTGTTGTAAGCTGGAAATGAGGCTTGTTGGTGTGATGGAGCTGATGAGTGGAGAGAGGGAAGATGGCCATCAACGGGGACTGACGTGCTTTCTTATATAGAGATTCCAGACAAGACGTGACGACCGCAAAGACCATGAACAAGACACTCGTCTTGTCCTTCGTCACAGGCCTCCGGTCTCGATGACGATGTCTCTCTTACCAAGATTCCCCAAGCAAACGAAGCGCTCGCGCCGCCGCGACGACGGACTTCTGTCCCAATCCTTGGACAGCGTGACATCGTGATGGCCCCCTACCGCCTTAGACGGGAGGCAGCTATATCCCCTCCCCTCCCCTTACGCCCCCCTTTGATTGTGGAGTGACGAAGACGGCTTGTGTCGATCTCATGTTCGACAGGGACTCCTCACTTCACAATGTGAGGATAGGAGCTCAGGGGAGGTAGCCGGGTGTAGGGGCAAGGTGATTCTGTGGTTCGAGACGGGTGAACGGGGTATACAACCCCCTATTACTGAGGATGATGGAGGTGTGAATAGGAATACTCGGATCGGTACCTGAAATCTCCAGTGGGACTCTCGAGGGTTGCCACCCACATGTACTTTGTGTAGAGTAGGCACACACTTTTGAATCGGCTGAGGCCGCTTAGCCGTTGCCTTGGCGAGCACAGCTCTCTTCTTCATATCATAGGCCGCCGTCGTTGCCCGCAGCGGAGTGAGAACCGGAGAATGGTTCGCAGGCGGCGTGTAAGTGGTCGAGAAGACAAGCCACTGGACCGCAAGCTTATAATTCTTACCAAATGACCGCCCAACTGGCGTTCAGCAATTCGATGACAACGCCGGTGGTCTACAGCAATGGTCTTGTGAAAGGTAGATGGGAGCAGTCGTTTGTGTAGCCTCAGTCTAGGGATGACGGGGGTAATTTTGGCAGATATCGGAGTCACCGGACGACGCAGGCACAAATCAGCATCGGGCAGACCATCCCATCCCAAGACCACGACAATGGGAGACTGCCACTGTGGCACTGCGTCGTCTGCATCTGCAGATGCGCCCGTGAATTGTCCGCGACCCCGGTCTCCTCTGACGCAGGGTTCTGCTGCAAGAAGTACCAGAAGGTGGGTGTGCCCATCCGACATGAACTCCACATGGGAACAACGGTGCTCGAACGGGTTTCCTTGTTTTTTTCGCCTTCCAGAATAGTCTGTGTAAACGTCCGAATAGAGAGAGATAGGAAACGAAAAGGAATGTGGGGAATACTTGCTTGCCATGCTGCGTTGAAGCGAATACATCAGTTGATCCGTTTGACTGATACATTTTGGTCCTCTGCGTATGCCAGCGTGACATGGCGTTCAAGCCTCAAAACGAGAATGACGACGCGACGAGATATCGCTACCAAGACCCATGACTTCTTGGGCGAGGCGCCAGGGCATAAAGAATAAGGAGATGAAGCCTGACGACAGTGGTAGAACCGTGCTCCGAGCCTAAACCTCAACGATAACCTCTCGTTCCAGAACATGGCAGAGACATGAGAAAGGGGGCGTGTGGGCGTGATCTTTCATCTCGAACATGAAAGACACGGGGCTCACAAGCCACAAAGTCGCAGTCCTCATCCAGAAACAGAACCTTGTGATCTAGCAAACACCAACGCATGAGCCCCAATCTCGCATGGCAGAAAACGGCCGCCGGCCCCGGCCAGTAAGGGGCACTAGTTACTTCTCTACTCTCCTCCAGAAACAGACTCCCTGTTCCTTGCGTGCCGAGCTCGTCTGTCTGCAGCTTTCAGATGGGCGCGCAATACGTCAGGTACTCCTCTCCTACGTTACCAGATTGGGCCAAGTCGGTGATTTCTTTTCGAATCACGGTCCGGGGGATGTTGCCGTGGCTGCCTCCAGGCTCCCCTGTCTCCCAAGAAAGTGCATACATGCATTCGGGGTTTCTGCCAGAACAGGATTTCGAGAAAGAATATGGCCAGGGACGTAGGGATGAAAGGCGGTGATGGTGGAGAGCAAGGAGAAATCCGTCCTGGGGTTGCGTCGATCGCAGACGAGGATGATGGTATAGATGGGATAATACCCAACCGCTGCCTCGCCTCGCCTTGCACTACACTACACTGCATTGCAGTACCCATTGCCATGCCTCAGCACAATTGAGATCGTCACCGCGGCGGCTGTTTCCCTAGGTTGCGGTGGCGAGACAATACAAGAGAGAGGAGGCTCAGGTAAGGTAGTATTGGTACTCCATGCGCTCCATTTCAACCGGGTTCTGACCTCACTCGAATACAGCCGCTTGGAAGCTCTCGGCACGGCACCGGCAGGCAAATCAAAAGGGAGTTGAGCCAAATCATAGCATAGCGAAGGAAAGGCAACGGCCTGGGTTTCCTCCAACAAAAGAAGCACTAACAAACAGCCAAGCCGAGAAACCATCAACGTCTTGAGACGTCGTTGGTCCGCGCCTACGGGCTGCCGGGGCAGGCCATCACTTGGAGGAAAGCGGGGAGGGAAGGACAACCTATATGTGCCGCTCCCCTGCATCTTAACTGCCGGTATTCACACCACACACAACAATACACACCCCCGGAAAGAAGTCTACCATCCATGATTGGTTTTCTGGAAGGGGGAAAAGAGCGTCATTTCGGCGTATGCTGGGTGCCCATTGGTGACTAGCAACTCTAGTCCCTATGCCGCTTCGGCCTTGACCGTTGGGAAGCTGGGCAGTAAAAGACGGCTTTTTGCCTCAATTGTCTGTGTGTTGCTCTTTACTTTCTTTCCAACGGCCGACGATCCCCTCGTGTCAAACCGCAGGACAAGCGTGGCTGAGAAAGATCAGCATCGACGCCACGACTAGCTGCTTCGTTTTTTGGGAACACGCTGCATCTTGCATCCACGTCTTTTCCCCTGAGCAGCTGGACAATGGGTAAATCCTAACCCCTTTAGAGAACTGTCAAAAAACGTGTCAAGCGTTCTAACAATAGATGAAGTGTCAGGTGCCTCTGTGGAATCCAATGAAATGGGGACAACTGGGAATAAGAACACCAGCTGTGATGAAAAGACGAGATGAACGGCAGCGACTACTCGGTCGCAACAGGGAAGAAATGCATGATTTATGACGATCAACAAGAGATTTAGAAATTTAGCCGCCAGGCTTTTTCGTTCACACTCATCAAAATGTATGGACCGGTACAAAGGTACAAGGTACGTAGTGAAGTCGGACGTGGAGCCCCGGGCGGCAGATGGGGCCGGCCGCGATACTTTCCCTCTAAACCTGACTCCCGCCGGCGGCTTCTTCCCCCCAGATCGGGGGCCGAAAAGTTCATGTCTCACCTTGTAAGGCTTACCGCCAACTTTGGCCCATCACGCAATGCATCGAGCACCTTGGAAGACAATAGCGTGAACAGTAAGAAACGGCGCAAGGGGAAGGGACTTGGGGCAGAATAAGCTTCTTACTCCCATCTGGCCCAAACTTCCCTCTCCGCCAGCTTTCCGCCCCTTCAGCCGCGGTGGCGTCATCGGTCTCGCCCCCTCCCAAATCCATCCCCCCGGCCATGGTCCGAACTCTCGGTAACAGACTGAACACCCGGGCACAGCACACCGTGACACCTCTTTCCCATCTCCACGCCCGCCGCAACGGTACGGTGTCATTAACATGAGACCATGACACCCAGAAAACGCAGCGCTGAACCAGTGAGTGAGGGGAGCAAGGCAATACTCGTCAGGAGAATAACAAAAAAAAGCTCCGAGAAAGCTGCAGGCTGGAACTCTGGACCTACATTGACGCTGCCGAATTCCACACAGACACAGCCGAAGCAGCTTGCCGGTTTGCCAACTTGGACAGACAAATACATCGTCACCAAACTGGGTGACAAGTGGGCATCGCCAAAACTCGCCTCCCACGATGTCACCCCATACCCTCACCATCAACGCCCTCATACCACTTTCACAGCAAATTCACCTACCGTCGTCACCAATGCTGAGCAGAAAGCAAAAGAAGGAGCAAAAAACAAAAGCCACAAAAAGGGGAGGACGCTAGGACTTGACTTCCATCTTGAGCTCCCCTGTCCACCAGTGAACCACCCCCCAGAACCTCGAAGCGACCCCAAACCAGGCAGGGATCAGCCCTCTTCGGAGAGGAAAACCAAGGTCTGCCAGCCCTCCAAGGAACAGCTCAAATCTCCTGTTTATCTGCATTGTGCACCTAGTGTCTACGTAGAGAGTAATGTAATGAAAGCCCTAGACTTCGCACCGCCAATGATACTCTAAAGACGGCTCACGGAAGAGGCTTAGGGAACGTACTACGATGCTGAGGTAGGTATACAACGCCACACGATATAGCAGCCCGTTTGCTTTCCTATACGCGATGCTCAAGATACTCGGCTACGATGGCCGTACCTGCAACACCCTCCCACAGATTCCCAATTCCTCCTCATCAATGCCATTGACCCTCATCATTGGCCGTTCGTCCCAAAGTACTCCAAAGAACATGGATCCCAGAAACGACAACACGGATGGCACCTACGTAAGCAGCCAGATCATAGCCCTTGCTCGGGGGAGGATCGCAACTTGTGAAGAGCATGCATACCTGCAACCATCTCTCGAATGCCTGCTCACCCACAACCCTGTGCCTGTGCTGGCCTCGCAAAAGAGATCGGCCTCAGCTCGACAAGGTCCTACGACCTGCAGTAGCCTGACTTTCGATATCTTGCGAGGTGTTCCTGACAGCTTGCCGATCCCTTTGGGAGACCGTGAAGCTGAACGCGTATTTGCTTCTCGCCTCTCGGGTGCCGATCGTTGATAACTATCGTAGGCTTCAGTCAGGGTGTCAAACTTTCAGGATACTTGACCGTCTCCAAATGTGGATAGCTTCTCCCCCGTGTTCCCCTCACTCAATTCGCCACTTGGCAAGAGGCCTCACTTTCCCATGTTCAAACATCGAATTCACAAACGGCACATCCGA